GCAGAAAAATGAAACAAGATCTGTAACACACACACACACACACACCCCTCATATACCTGCCAATTGTGTGCCCCTCAGCCTCCCCATATATAACTGCCAACTGTGTGCCTGCCCCTCTCTCTCTTTCTCTCTCTCTCTCTCTCACACACACACACTCTCTTACATTAGCAGTTCTGAAAGTGTGTTGGGTGAACCCCTGGGGGTGCTGGAGATACTTTAGGAAGTTCTGAAAAGTCAAAACTTTTTAAAAATAATGCCAAGACATCCTCTGCTTCTTTCACTTTTATTCTCACGAGTGTGCAGTGGATTTTCTTCACAGGCAGCATGACGTGTGATGACTCCATTGCTCTGGGGAGAGTCACTTTGTGCTTGTATGTTTTTGAAATTCTAACGTGGCACCTATTGATAGATACAACTTACACAAACACATTCTTTGGGGGTCCTCAGTAGTTTCTAAGAGGGTGAAGGGTCCTGAGACTTAAAGTTAGAGAGCTGTCATTTAGGTTTCAATTAGATAGTGTTTCCTCTGAGAAGTCTTTGGTTGGTCCCCCATCAAATTCTGGAAGTGTCAGTCGTTCTCTGTGGTCCATATCTAGCCTATCATAGAATTTACTGTGTTATAATGAAACAGTTGTTTATCTAGAAGACACAGAAAACTCCATAAAAGCAGGAGCCCTGTTATTTCCTTAGTTCCTAGCTCAGTTCTGGATGCATAGTTAGTGTTCAGTAAACACATGTTGACATGAATCTCTTTGGAGGTATTTGGTGGTGACATAGTCTGCAGAGTCCTGGTAGCGCAGTGGTTAAGGGCTCAGCTTTGATCTGAAAGGTTGATGGTTTGAACCCACCAGCTGCTCCATAGGAGAAAGATGTGGAAATGACAGCCTTGGAAACCCTGTGGGGCAGTTCTACTCTGCTCTACAGCGTCACTGTGAGTCAGCTCAATCTGACTGCAGTGGGTTTGCTTTTTATGTTTTGTTTTGCTCTAAATTATTCATTATGGATTATGATGACTGTAAGAAATTAAAACCATTTTGTGCTTTAATAATGCATTCAGTTCTTAACTTTTTTTTTTTTTAACCTATGAATGTCTTTTTAGAAAGCAGAATTTACATGCACACGTACAGGCAGTGTATACGTATTAGAGCAGAAAGAGCCTGTTGGTGGGAGCCGGTCTTCCATATATAAATCTGTGTTTCTGACGAGGAGCTCTGGCACCATGGACAGCTCCTTTCGTTCCCTTGAATCTAATTTCCTTCATCTGTCAATTAATGGGGAGCTCTGGTGGCATAGTGCCTAAGGCACTTGACTGCTAACCAGAAGGTTGCAGTTCAAACCCACCAGCCACTCCTCAGAAGGAAGGTTGGGCAATCTACTTCCATAGTGATACTGCCTCGGAAACCCAAGGAGGGGTCACTATGAGTCAAGTCAAGTCAATGACAGTGAATTTGGTTTGGGTTTTGCTTCCAGTAGGTGTGGTTTGGGCTTTTCTTCTGTGAAGATTGACAGCCTCGGAAACCCAAGGAGGGGTCACTATGAGTCGGGTCCGACTCGAGGGCAAATAACAACAACAACAACGTCAATTAATGAAATTCGACTGGATTACCTAAAAATGTTTCCTGTGTTCAATCACATGGAAAAGGTTTCAAATGTATGTTCAATATGTGATTTATATGTGTTTATATTTTGCTTTATTAAGAATGCACATAAATGTAGACTTATCTGTGTATTAAAATAACTTTGTTTTTACAGGAAAGATGATAAAGACTATGCTTTAAAACAAATAGAAGGAACCGGGATCTCTATGTCGGCATGTAGAGAAATAGCAGTAAGTGAAGTTCTTTTTATCATTCTTGTTATCAACCCACCTACAAGAACCTCTTCTGCAGATCTCTGAATTGTATTTGTCACACGAGCCCTGGTGACACAGTAGTTAAAGTGCTCAGCTGCTAACTGAAAGGTCGGCAGTTCAAACCCACCAGCCACTCCACGGGAAAAAGATGCAGCAGTCTGCTTCTGTAAAGATTACAGCCTTGGAAACCCTATGGGAGCAGTTCCACTCTGTCCTCTAGGGGCGCTGTGAGTCAGAATCGACTATGTCAGTGGGTGTGGTTTGGGCTTTGCTTCTGTAAAGATTGACAGCCTTGGAAACCCTGTGGTGCAGTTCCACTCTGTCCTCTAAGGGCGCTGTGAGTCAGAATCAACTCAGTGGCAGTGGGTGTGGTTTGGGCTTTGCTTCTGTGAAGACTGACAGCCTTGGGAACCCTGTGGTGCAGTTCCACTCTGTCCTCTAGGGGCGCTGTTAGTTGGAATCAACTGAAAGACAGTGGGTTTGGTTTGGGCTTTGCTTCTTTTAGAAACCCTATAGGGCAGTTCTACTCTGTCCTGAAAGGTCACTCTGAGTCAGAATCGACTCAACAGCAGTGGATTGGGTTTAGTTTTGGTTTGTGGTACAGATTTTTTTTTTGTGACATTAATGAAATGTTGATAAACAATATTTCCTAACTGTCTATAGAAAAAATATTTTTAAGAGAAGTAAATGTAGCATGTAGTTCTACCAAAAGTATCTTTGTAAATTAATTTATCTGGGGCTAAGGCATTCTCAGTTGTTTATATAAATACATATTTTTCCAACACAGTGTCACTCAATAGGGTCCAGCTATTATTTCTTTGAGTGCAGTAAAAAAGTGGTATGTTAGTTTATATAAAATTAATACCTCTAGGGTGGGATTAATATTGTCACTTACATGAACTTGCAGTGAGCCAGCATGTTATTAGAATATTTGTACCTTTTTCTTTTGAAAGTATAGCTCTCTATGGTGATGAGCACCTCATTTTGATTCTGGAAGCAAACTTTCCATAAATGCCTTCCTTAACAACGTCCCATGCATTTAGGCTGAGCATTACCTCTGAGATTTTGCTTCAGATTTTACTGTTGTAAAGCTGGGGGTCCAAATTTGTCTTTTTTTTTTACTTAAATCAGAATATTCTAGGATCTTTATTATAGTCTTTGCTTTTGTTGGTCTGGGTCTTCAGTCCACCCTTGTTTTTTGTTTTTAGCTACTGTCACGTTGACCCCTGACTCATGGCAACCCCACGTACAGCAGAATGAAATTCCGCCTGGTCCTGAGCCATCCCCATGCCTGGCCCTGAGCCATCCCTGTGACTGGTTGCTTATCAGACCCCTGTGATCCAAAGGGCTTTCATGGCCTGATTTTTGGAAGTAGATCACCAGGCCTTTCTTCCTGGTCTCTCTTAGTCTGGAAGCTCTGCTGAAACCTGTTTAGTGTCATAGTGTACACAAGCCTCAGCTGATGGATGGGTGGTCGCTGTGCTTATCGTGCGTTGGCCAGGAATCAAACCCACTTCTCCTGCATGGAAGGCAAGAACTCTCCCACCGAACAGCTGTTGTCCACCGTTGTTGTTGTTGGGTGTCACTGAGTTGGTCCCGCCTCATAGCAACCCTGTGGACAACAGAGCGAAACACTGCCCAGTCCTGTGCTGTTCTCACAGTTGTTAGGTTTGAGCCCATTGTTGCAGCCACTGTGTCCTTCCATTTGGTTGAGGGTCTTCACCTTTGTCACTGACTCTCTACTTTACCAAGCATACTGTCCTTCTCCAGGGACTGGTCCCTCCTGATAACATGCCCAAAGTCTGTGAGACACAGTCTCTTCATCCTTGCTTCTAAGGGGCCATCTGCCTGTACTCGTTCTAAGACAGATTTGCTCACAGTTCTGGCAGTCCATGATATTTCCAGTATTTTCTACCTTTGTTGTTGTTGTTGATATGTGCCGTAGAGTCGGCCCAGACTCATAGCGACCCCTCCTTGGGTTTCCAAGGCAGTATCACTACAGAAGTAGATTGCCCAACCTTCCTTCCGAGGAGTGGCTGGTGGGTTTGAACTGCCAGCCTTCTGGTTAGCAGTCAAGTACCTTAGGCACTACACTACCAGAGCTCCACACTACTATTGTGACATTCAACTATAAATTTAAATATTTTTGCTTATTTAGCAGACTCTACCAATGGTTTTTCAGGCAGCATTTATTGTTTACCATGTTCATAGGTACTGAGTAGGTACAAGTAAAGAAACAGAGCAAGTCAGCATCCTTGGCCTCAAGTGTTTACACTCTGCTGAGGATAGAGACTTGTCAATCTTATAATAAAGACTGAGGAATGTAGAAGTGTGCAGAGGAGGGTGTGTATCTAAACTAGAGTAGAGAATCAAGGAGAGTTCCAGGTTTCAGAGGAAATGCAAGAATTGCCTCCATGAGGGAAGAATAGTGGTGACAAGGGCACACTTAGCCAAAGGTCCACCGTGTCGGAAGGTGTATTTCATGTACATTTCATAAATATTTCACACTCTTGAATCATGGGTAATGTAGCTGTCCGTTAATTGTTAGTTCCTCAGTCGTTTGTTGTGGTTGCCGTGAGGTGCTGTTGAGTTGGCCCCGACTCAGCTTCATGTTTGACAGAGTGAAACATGGCCTGTCCTGTGCCGTCGCCATGGTCTTTGATGCGTTTGAGCCCGTTGCCGTGGCTACGGTGTCACTCCATTTCTCTGACAGTTTCCCTCATGTTCACTGATCCTCCACCTTCAGCCACTAGTCAGTACTGAAGATCAAAATGCACCAGACTGTGGTCAGTGATGTTAGAAGTCAGCACAATGGTTGGAGGGGAGTGACGGAAAGGGGAAGCAAAGGAGCTTTCAGGGTGCCAATAAGTCTGCTTCTTGATCTTGCTTTGGGGCTAGTGATGAAATTTCATCACGCGGCACGCTGATGACTCTTGTGCTTTTCTCTGTTTATAGTTCAGTAACACTTTTTTTTTTTTTTTTTTTAATATTCATTGTGCTTTGGGTGAAAGTTTACAGAGCAAATTCGTTTCCCATACAGCAGTTCATACACATTTTGTCTCATGACATTGACTGCAGTTTCCAATGTAACAGCTCTCTTCCCACTTCTTCCCTGTAGTTACCTCTTCCCTGTGTCCTTCCCTCCCATGCACTCCCATCCCCTGAGCTGTCTCCCTGTACAAACACTGCCCTTCTGGTTTCCCGTGATTGATATTTATTGTTTCCCATGATTGATACTTATTTCTTATTGCTCCAAGGAATGTATCTACCTCGTGTAAATGTTCACCCCTATCTACCTCATGTAAATGTTCATCCCATATGCCTGTCTGTTGTTTGGCTGGAAGCCACAGGAGTGAGTTCAGTTCCAGACCTGAAGGGTCATAGTCTTGAGGGTTTCACCAGGCTCTATCAGACCAGCAAACCTGGTCTTTTTTCTCATGATTTTGAGTTTTGTTCCACCACTCTACCCAGGATCTCCTGCACCAATCCCTTCCAAGTGGTTGACGCTGGTAGCTGGGCACCATCTAGTTCTGGCCTCATATGGTCTTATGGCCATGCTTCAGTAACAGGTTTTTAAAACAAAATTCCCTTCAAGACAGAAAGACATGCTTATGTTTCAGATAAGCATGATACAGTGACTGTAAATGCAGTTAAACACAAAAAGGATTATGAATGCTGTTTTGAAAATGCTTGATACGGTTCTTCAATGATAAGGAGAGATATTTAATGTTAGTTTAGTTTAATTTACTAATTTCTGGTTTATGGCTGTTGCTTTCTGTGTTTGGCTGAAGAAATTGTTCTCTGTCTTTTGATTCTGAAAATGTTCCCCTATGTTTTCTTTGAAAAGCTTCATAGTTGTAGCTTTGCTTTTGGGTCTATGGTGTCTCTCAATGAATTTAGCAGCAGAGAGGTAGAAGTCTTCTCCCTCATTTGAATATATAGTTGTTGCAATTTCATTTATTTAAAAAATGGTATTGTGGTAAAATATATTTAACAAAGATTTTGCCCTGTCAGCCATTTTTAAGTGTACAGTTCAGTGACATTAATTACGCTCAACATGTTACGTACACATCAGCATTCCCTGTTTCCAGAAGTTTCTCATTGGACCAAACAGTGCACTCCTGAAGCACTGCCTCCCCCCGCCTTCTCTGCATCAGCCCTGGGAAGCACTAGCAGGCGCTTATCTCCCTGATCTGCCTCTTCTGGACGTCGCGTGTGAGTGGGTCACACAGTATTTTCCCTTTCGTGTCTCATTTATTTCACTCAGCATAGTGTTTCAAGGTTCATTCATGTTGTAACAAGTATTGGAACTTTATTTCTTTTTATGCCTGAATAATACTCCATTGTATGGATAGAACACATCTTCTTTATCCATTCATTTGTTGATGGACATTTGGATTATTTCCACCTGTTGGCTAGTGTAAATAGTGCTGCAGTAAACACAGGCCTACAAGTATCTGAGTTCCTGCTTTCAATTTTTTGGGGTTGAATTCCAGCCGGGTGTGGAATTGCTGGGTCACGTGGTAGTTCCATGTTTAAAATTTTGAGGAACTGCCAAAATGTTTTCTGCAGTGGTTGCACCCTTTTACATTCCCCTCAGCAATGGATGAGGGTTCCAGTTTCTCCAACTCCTCACTAATGCTTGTTTTCCATTTTTTTTATATTGATTATCCCAGTGGTTTTGATTGACATTTCCCTAATGACTAATTACACTGGGCATCTTTTCATGTACTTGTTGACCATTTTTTTTTTTTAGAAATATCTGTTCAAGTCCTTTGCCAATTGGGTTGTTTGTCTTTTGATGCTGAGTTATAATAGTTCCTTATGTACTTTGGATATTAAACATTTATCAGACAAACAGTTACCGAATATCTTCCCTCATGCCACCAGTTATCTTTTCTCATCCTTGATAAAGTCCTTTGATGTATCAGAGTTTTTCATTTTCATCAAGTCCAGTTTTTTCAGGTTTTTCTTTT